CCTTGAAAGGTGAAGGAGCAGAGGTCTGCTGGATTCAGTGGCTGGTCTAAGGACACACAGCAAGTGTAGGGCCTGACAAGAGGGCATCATCTCCCTGGGCCTCAGGTCATTAGGCCATGTGGCCTCCACCCCGCCACTCCCCTAAGAGGCTGACACGTGTGATCTCTACTCTTCCCCAGCCTTACTCTAAATTATATCTGTCCCAGGCATTTCCCATACATGGCCTGCTCATGCCAGTCCCCGGGACTAGGTTTCCCTCAGAAATCAGGAGATCTCAACAGTGTGGAGGAAATCCCAGAAACTGACCCTCTGAATCCAAGAAAGGATGGCTCTGGGGAAGGCTAAGGAAGACCCAGAAAGTGCTGGATGATACTATTGCTGGGGAGACAAAGAAGGAAAAGGCTTTGTCCAGGTAAAACATCATAAACCAGGAAACGAGACAAAGGAAGGCAGCGCTGTGTTCCCCGGGGAAACATGGCTTTTTTGAGGATCTGGAGTCCTGGCTAGAGTTTATAGGATCCACATGAGCAGATCTGAGAAAGACTTGACTTCCTTTGTTTCTCTGTCGCTCTGCTGGACTCTGGTCAAGCCCCAGTGAGTCCCCGCGAGGGACTCGGGCTGCCCTGCAGGCTCAGTGCGAGGCGGGAAGGTGTGCGAGGGAGGGAAGGGAACGTGAGAAGAGGTGAGAAAAAGAACAGGCGCAATACAGGTAGATTTCTGGGAAAGAAATGGGACAGATCTCATCTTGGTGGATCACAGGGGTTGTATTGAAAAACAGCTTTCTTTCAATAAAAGGAATCTAAATCCCCCTTTGGGTAGAATCGTCCATGCCGCACCCCGCCCTACTCTTCATTTGTCAGTGGAAGGTCAGAGCACCTCTCAGAGTCCAGGGCAGGACACTGTGACTGTGACTCAGCCACAGCTAACACCGGAACGATGATTCAGGGTCTTAAGGGGTGCCCCAGGCGTCAACAGGGTAACCTCTAGGGCCTGACTTTGCCTGCTCCTTCCTCAAAGGCCAACCCCAGACAGGCATGGCTCAGAGGCTGGGAGAAAGGCAGGGACTGGAAGGGCAGCGTCCAGAGGGGTCCGGAGCCCCATTTCCTACCTGCCACTAAACAAGTCCCTCCCGTTTGACTGCAGTGGCTAATGCAAGAACAGGCAGGAGGAAAGCCCTTTGTGTTAATGACTCTCTCCTTAAGGAACTGTGCTGCTAGTGGGTACCTCAGTCACACACACCCCGGCCCCAGGTAGCCTCGAGGGCCTTCTGCTTTCATTTGCCTTGAATGTACCTAGGAACAGGGGAGGAAAGTCTCTTATCAAAGTGCCTGAAACCCAGAGCTAGAGCTTCTAGAGACGCAGTTCTTCCCAACTCAGCGTGTCCAGCCCTTCCCCAGAGTCCTCTAGTTTCAAGCTCCAGCTTCCCAGAAAGAACTAAAGAACTTGCTGTTTGAATTCAGTAGAAATCAAGACTCAACAATCAAACGACAGCACAAGGCAGAGCATGGCAGGGAGCCACGACTTGTACTTTAACAGCCCAGATCTACTCTCCCCAAGCGACACATACACACACACTTGTAGGGGACAGAGAGAGAGCAGCATGTTATTCTATTTTACTCATCAAAACAGGAATGCAAAAATAAAACAATAGACTGTGAAAAGCTCAGGATCTCTCCCTAGGCTACTTACTGCAGGAGAGCCAACAGGTGAGATGGGAAGGATGGAAACAGGGACGTTTGTAGCTCCTACAATTAGGCCACTTTAGGAATAGTATAATCACGACGAAAGTTCGCTACCAGGTTCATCCGGGCTGCGTCTTCCTGTAGCTGCCCAGTGAACACGCGACTCTTCATGTGGTTTCTTCGTAGTGTGAGTTCGGCGTGTCCTGTTAGCCTGCTCTGGTTAGTTGGAATGAGTTCCAGCTTCTCCCCTCCATCTTCAGTCTAGTCCCGGGGCTGAGGGTTCAGCTTGAGCCACGTGATCTGGAGGGTTGGCGTGGGGAGGGGGAAGCTTTTTTTGAATCAGTTTTTGGTCATATAATCTGCCATTTTAAGAGTAAGATTTGCTTTATGGAAATCAATTCATTAATAAAAACTATATTCAAGTTGCAATACCATTTCACAGTGAAATATTTTGAGTAAAATTTTGTTGCTAGGATAGTCATGGACAAGCGTTTAACAGCAAAATGTTTTGATTATGTTAATAAATAAGACAATGCTACTAAGAGTCTGGTGTCTCGGTCTAGAACCTTCTCTGTGAGTTGCAGAATTAATCACTTTTTCTTCGTAGTCTTTACAGGACACAACAGCTGTAAAAAGGTACTTAGAACAGGAGATTTTCTGCCTGGTTCGGCTCATGCCCCATGTGTAATATAAAAGTTTATATAGCCACACCGAGGATTATAAGGGGAAGAATAATTAGCAAATTTGTAAATTGTGCCTACATTTTCTGAGTTTTAAAAAATTAAATCTTAGATCCTGACTAGTCTGCATAGTTCATTTTTGGTTAACGTTGGCTCTTTAATGAAATTAGTACTTTCTGAAATAAAAATATATTTGTGAAAATTAAAAACTACCTTTTTGGCATGAAAGATCTTAATGAAAACAGCAATTGTTACACTTACAATTTGTTTTGGCAATGTGAAAAAGCAAAAATGAATAATTTGTTAATTGTTTAATCCTGCTGTGATTATTAGTTTTTATTTCATCTTTAGTTATAACATACATCCTGTATTGAGTAAGGTCTAAATGATGATTGTCGTTAGCCAGTCATCAGTTGTGATTCAGAAGGTGAAATAGTAATTCCCTGTTAGGCCAGCTCATTTAAGGGTTAGTTGCTTATTTGTTAGATTAGTTTTTTCTTTTTAAATCATTTGGTCCTTAGAGTTCTTTGTTGTTGTTTTTTTTCTGTTTAAAATTGAGATTAGTCAGCTTTGTGTGTATCCATGTGTATTTTGTGGCATATCACGATGATGTTTGATATACTTGTAATTTGATTACTTGTGTTTATGTTTGCAAATTTGTTCACAAAGCTAAACACTGCTTTTTTCCTTCTGTCCCGAGAGTGCGTAATGATTACAGCTTGTTTAAAATGGAGCATAAACACTGGCTTACTTTGCTAACTTATACTAACTTATAAAATATATACACTAAATATGAATTAACATACACATACATACACATTTCTTCCCTTATGACTCATTAGAAGCTTCAGATCTTGGGATTTCATAGGAAGTTCCATGCAGCCAATAGTATAAAGAAAGCAGAGAGAAATATGTTTTCCAAGTGGGAAAACTGAACCACAGCAAGAATCCATAACATTCCCATGACCATGCAAGACATTCAAAGAAGACATGGTAAACATATCCCTGGTCCTTGAGACTTGTTCCAAACACTGGACAGTACAATCTTCTTACCCTCTTCTCCAGCCTCCCAAGAGTACTGCAAAGAAACCACATCCTGGAGTAAGATCAGAAATGCAGCTGCTACAAAGTTGTAGTCTAAGGGCAGCTTTATTTCTGCCCCTCTCTCCAAACAGAAATCCCTAAGCGTCAAAGTAGATGGTGTGTGTAATAGGCTACCAACAGCATAATTAATCAGAAAACTCTCGGAGGAGAAGAAAGCTTTCGCTACAAATTACAAATACCAACAAGAAATCAGAAGGAAACCTCCCTTAACTTGGCAGTCTCCGGTCAAGGACAGGCAACAGGAGGCTAGGTTTGGGTAAACCATCTCTAAGCTATATCCCCTTCTCCCTTCTTAGGGACAATTTGCCAGATCAGAAGTGAGGGAATCATTTCTAGACCGAGGGAGTCTAGTGAGAAAAGGGAGTCTAGGGAGTCTAGGGAGAAAAGTGACCGACGAGTCACTTTTCTATTCCCCATCTCTACTCAGGTATCATCTCCTATTTGTCAGGAAAAATAGTCTTATGACTTTCTTAACAACCTATCCACGAGGAATCCTTTTATGATTGAATGTGCTACGGTTATTAACTAATGGGATCCCTTAGCAAGTTCCCTGGAATATGTAGTCTAATCCCATACTCAGCAAAGACAGATTGCCATACACCAACAATGCATTCTCCCCTTTCGTGTTGCAGAAGTGTCACTGAGAAGTGACTTTCCACTAAGAGAGTACATCTCCCAGACTCCTTGCAAATGAGGTGTGGTCATGATACTGGATTTTGGAATGTGAGGCCCTCCTGTGAGTCTCCTTTCTCCGTGTTCTTTTCCTTTCGTACCCAGCTGGAATGTGGACGACTCCCCCCTCTTCCCCAGACAGCCTTGCAAGTCACGTGTGGTAAACGGCAGGGCCTCTGGAATGACTATGCAGAGGGCCATCCCGTTCCCCACCCAGTCTGTTATAGGATCAAGGGGGAAAAAGTCTACCGTGTTTGAATTATTGCATATTTTTTGGTCTTTGTGATATAGAAGCTAATCTACTTTAATTAATACACATACATTTTCTGGGCACTAGTTGTTAATTACAGTTAGAGGTCTGTAGGATATGTGATTGAGTACGCCAAGACAGGACTATAAATTCACTTCCACAGAAGACAAAGCGAAGTGGTCAGACCTATCAGAATTTGGGGTCAGCGTGGACAGAAGCAGAATCCTTTCCTCAGCCACTTGGGTGGATGGCCCAGTTGGGATCTTCATTTATTATATTTTAATTTATTAAGAGGTATGACATATGTACCACAAGCTACTGATTTTACCTTTATTTTATAGCTGATGGAAAAAAACAAGAATATCAACTATACTTTCCACCCAGCTTGGTTTGTTCTAGAAATTAATCTTCATGCTTAGGGGACAGCATCAGTTATTTCTCACAAAGTGCTCTCGTGGTTGGAAAGGGCAAAATAAGATGCTCAGAAATAGGAGTTGAAGGTGTTAACTCTAGGACCCATCGCCATTTCTGTGGTATTTCCACTTCCATTGGCTTGGTACTTCTACCTTTACCTTAGGCTTGGAGTTTAGTAAATCAGAAACTAACCCCAGGCATCTAACAATTGCTCTTTATTTTAAAACACATCCATGAAAAACCAAGGAAATGCAGAAGCGAGGCAGGGCGATGTCTTCTGAGCAAGGGTGGAAGTGCCTCTGGTCGGCAATTCCCATGGTGTTGCCATGACTCAACGGTCTGTTGCAATCAGTTGTGGAAAGGCACAGAGTGACAGCTGGAATGCAAAGGAGTGTGTACAACCCCAAGCTCCCTTAGCTTTGCCAAAGCTCAAGTGCCCCCATGGGAGGGTCTTGCAACATATGTCCTATTGAGCAAAGAGGTTGCAAAGCAAGGAGTTATTGCAATAAATACCACTTGTGATGAACAAGGTTTGTAGGTTTAACTTTATTTTTTAAAAATGTTTGTCTTCTTCACTAGACAATCAACTCTACGAGGGCAGAGACTATGTCAGCACTGTACTGCCAGCCCTTGGCACACAATAGGTGCTCAATAAATATATGCTAAAAGAATGGATAGAAGGATGGATGGAAGGATGGATTCTACCCAGCTCAAGCATGGATAGGAACATTCTCTGCTATAGAGGGAAGGAGAGAGACAGAGAAAGAGAATATAAAATAAAACACATAGATGTATGTAATTTTTAGTGTTGAAAAGTGGGATTGAATTAGGACTAATAAGTCTAGATAATTTCACTTCTTTCAATGCCCAGGCCAGTTTTCTATCACTTTGAAACCCAAAAGTAAATACCTTCCGAATGTTTGCTGTGCTGGGAGAGACTGCATTTTTATTTAAAGCATTTCCTAAGCTGCCATGGCATCATAAGAGAAAGGCTACCGTCCCAGGGCCAGACTCGAAGGTGGCAGAGCACCAGCGGCACCACTGCCCCAGTGGGCCTGCCTTACGGCTCCTCCCTCCACCACTGCCCACTTCTTCCAGCTTGAAAGTGAGTATGTAGTCACGTCCCAGTGGGAAGGAGGAGGAACTCTGACCAGCAAGAAGCTTGCAGTGGTTGATATGAAGCAATAGTGTTTTACTGGCCACAGTGTGACTGCAAATCACTCTCTGTTCTGACATCAGGAAGGATTTTATATTCTGGACAAAGTCAACAACTTTTCCTTTAGTCGTATCACTCAAAGAATAAGCCAACTATAGCCCAGCAGCACTTGTCCAAATTCCAGGACGCCGTTTATGACTATTCTGAGTCAAACATCTGCCCACGCAGTTTGTCCTTCCATCCGGTCCCCTCTTTGGGGTCCAGGTCCTTGGTCGGTCTCACGCCCAGTGCTACCTGCCTCATTGCCCAGCGTCAGGAAGTGAGTAGTACACAGGTGCAATAAGACATCCACCTGGCCACGATCTCAAGGATGGGGTCAGATTCAGTTGACCTGAACAGACCCACTGAACATGTTCAAATGTCCCCATCCCACCCCACCCACATGAGATGGCTCCTGAGCCCTGAGGTCCATATCCTAAGAACCTCAGCTGAGAAATCTCTCTGGCAGCTTCACTGTTGCTCAAGAGCCTGAGTGTTGTAGCATCCCGGGGGCAGGTTGTCCCTAATGTTCTCCAGGTTCTTCACATCAGCCAGAATCCCATCTATGCTTGTTTCCAGCAAACGGAGATGGCCCCTCTGCCGGCGCGCCCTCTCCTCCAGCTCTGACATCAAGGGCCGCAGCTGGCTGTTGATCTGGCTCTTGGCTCGGAAAAGGTTTTGCTCCAGTAAGATCAGCCCCTCTTCATCCACGCTGCCAGGCCTGTCTATTTTAGGGACAGGAGTTAACAGAGAAAAACTGTGGTTAGACCTCCTTGAACACATATGTGCCCTTCTGTACCCCTAACTAATTCTTGTGTCCACCTGCCCAGAGCCAATAGTATGTCCTGAATTTAAAAGGCTTATTTTAAATGAGAAACAATCTAGAAAATGCTCTAAGAGCACTAGCCTGGTTACTGGGCTATGAACAACTCCGTTCAAGACTCTGAGCTCTGTAGCTCAGCAATATGGAGTTTTGATTTCTCCTTTCCCGTTAGGGTCAATAGTTTATGCTCTAAGAAGAGGAAGACTGAAGGTCATAGTGAACCGAGCACTGTCCAAAGTGCCTGCCCAAAACAGATCACCCCGAGGATCAGAATCAACTCCCAAGTATGCTTTCTGAAGCACCCTCAGGAAACATCTTGCTGTTTTCTATTAGGAGACCTTTAGAAACTGGCGCGCCTCAGGGTTTACAGAGGCCAAGGTATGCTTTGCTCTTTGGGGGATGGATTCCAGCTGTTAGAAAATGATGTAAGACTTCATTCTGGCCGTGGGAAACCGTGGGAATCTGGCTAGATAACTATTTCCAACATAAAATGTAATCGCATTTGTTCAGGTATGTTTTACTCTAAAACTAATGTCAGCATAAAGGGCATCTGGTCAGGCCCCCTTGGTTCAATAGGTTTGAGTGGCTCTTGGTCAACTCAGACTCAAGGTTAAGTTGCCTCACTATCTGTGCTGCAGTGATTGACAGTATTTGACAGTAGGCATTTATTATACCCAGAACAATGAATCTGTTACTGTTCCAGGACTCAAGAAAGCACATAGAGTAGAAACAACACCGTAACAAAAAAGTGGATCCCACAGATCTGTCCTTCACCCAGGGGGAGGGAAGAATGCAAGCATTTAGGGTTCCACGACATGCACACAAAGTTAAATAAGCTTGGGAACAAAACAGCCGTGTCTGAGAGGAGGCGGCAGGAGCTGTTAGAGAGAACAGGAGCATTGGAGACAGAAAGACCTCAGTCTGGATCTCGCCTGCACGATCATGTGAACTGCAGGGTATTATTCATCTCTCTAAGCCTCAGTTCTTTCCTTTGTGAAATAAAATAATGAAAATAATAAAACCCATCTCATAGGGCTTCTATAAGATTTAAATGATATGTCATGAAGACACCTGCCATAGTACCTGACATACGATAAATGTTCACTAGCCCCCTCCTCTAACCTTCTTTCTACACCCTCACGTTCCCTTTGAAGGCCCATTAGTTTCATTGCCTTTTTTAAGAACACTAAACAATGCTGCTAAAGTCTCAACTGGGGAGTTTTTTTTTTTTTTCATCCTAGAGGGTATTTTTCTCTTTGGGGCTCATTGGATCCCAAAGCAGACCCATGAGTATAACCACACAGACAATATTGGTCTCTCCGGGTAATGACACTCCACAGGAAAATCCGGTTTTAAAGTTGTTCTACTGAACTGGAAAAGTAGAGCCAAGCCTTCTCCTGAATGTTGCTGGCATCTGTGAGTGAATTCCTAGTTCCACATATGCTGTAGTCTAAGCTCGATAAAACAGGCCAAAGGAGGGCTTGATATCAGCTCCACCTAAATCCAGAATTTTAATTAACATCAGTTTTCTTTTGGGAGAAGAAAGACTCCCAAAGAACCCCAGAGAAGACTCTGGAGAAACCTGATTCTCTGCCACACTGCACCATCTAATCTATTTTATCCTAAAATTTTGTAATATCTTGTGGATCACATTTCCTTTGGGTTATTTACCCAGGTAGCTCAAGTTTCCCCAACTTGTTACATCAAGATATATCTTTGGTTTGGGAAGGAACAAACAGCAAGTGATTTTTTTTTGAGACACAGCCTCACTCTGTTGCCCGTGGCTAGAGTGCAGTGGAATCATCATAGCTCACTGCAACCTCAAACTCCTGGGCTCAAGGGATCCTTCTGCCTCAGTCTCCCTAGAAGCTGGGACTACTGGCATGTACCACCACACCCAGCTCATTTTTTATTTTATGTAGAGACAGGGTCTCTCTCTTACTCTGGCTGATCTCAAACTCCTGACCTCAAGCAGTCCTCCCTTCCTTGGATTCCCAAAGTGCTAGGATTACAGGCGTGAGTCACTGAGCCCGGCCAGCAAGTGATTCTTGACCTCATGGCCTGGAAGAATCCTTCACAACTTTCCCATCACTATTCTACTGCCTTAGAGCCGGCTCCCGTCCCCTCTCCCCTCGATTACTTCAGTAACATCCTAAGTGGTCTCAACCTGCCTTCTGTCCAATCCTGCTTTAAGCTCTCCTCAACTCGGCTACCCTAGTGATCTTTCTGAAATATATACTGATTAATTTATTCCTCTGCTTAAAACTGCCCACTGGTTTCTCACAATCAAGGCCAGACTCCATAGTGGGACGCTCAAGCTATCTAGACTTCTGGTAAGTTTCTTGAATACGCCCAGTTCTTTCACCCATAGACCTCCACCCCCAGCTGCAATCAGTGCCCAGTGACCCATCTTAAACATGGTAAAACAGAGTCCAGAAAATGTAAAGTAACCTCCCCAAAGTATCTGGGCCTGGAAACACACCAAACCTCCTGCTATCCTTAAGAAAAGCTGAGATTCCCATTCACGGGGGCCAGGTGTAGTGAGTCTTCTGGGGAAAAGCCCTGGAGCGTGGGGCTGGAAGGTTGTGGACACTCCACATACCCATTAGGTGGAGGATGCCATCCAGTGCGTTGAGTGTGTCTTGGATGGTAACTCCAGCATTCTTGGCTCTCGTATCAACTCTCTGGGCTTCCGTAATCACCTGAGCAAAAAAAAAAAAAAGCGCAAATTGGCTTTGAAAAGGTATTTTCTACATGCAGGTTTAAAGGCACCTCCTGTGAAAAGCGACAGGGACTCACCATCTGCACTGCGTCCAAGTCCGCGTCAAACTCCAGCTCCTTCCTCGCCAGCTCTCCTTCCACTTCCCTCATCTCACTCTTCAGAGTGGCCAGTCCCTTTTCCATGGCCAAGGCTCCATCTGCTGTCACATTGGCTTCCAAGTTCAGACTCCCTATCTCCTGGGAGAAGAAAAGGAGCCAGGGACGGAAGGAGAGAGAGGGGTGAGGCACGAAAACATCCCAAAGACAACAGCAGAAAAAATACAGCTGTAGTCAGGCCCTGATGGTGTCAGTTAGATGAACAATGAGGAGGTCAGACTCAGGGGCGCACCCTTCCCCAAGCTCTGCCTCAAACAAGCTCATCTGGGGTGTGTCTCTGGGGACAAGGGGTGTCAGCCCTGAGATCCTGTTTCCCTCTCAGTTCAACACCCCCACGGCATTGAATGCTCCTCGAGGAGAGGGATTAGGTCTTTCTTATCTCTGTATCCCCAGCACCAAGCACATTGCTAGCACATTACAGAAGAAAAGAAAAAAATGAATAAATGGAACTTAGACATAGGACATAGACTGGGACAAAGGATTTAGAACTCCAGACTTTCATAATCTAGAATCAAAACATTGATGATTGTTGTTACAGGTTGAATTGTATCCCCCTAAAAGGTATGTTGAAGTCCTAAGAATATGACCTTATTTAGCCAGAGGGTTGCTGCATATGTAATTAGGTACAACAAGGTCATACTGGAGCAGGTTGGGCCCCTCATCCAATAGGACTGGTGTCCTTCTAAGAAGAGATGGAGACATCGAGGGAGAAGGACACCATGCGACAACAAAAGCAGTCGCTGGAGTGATGCAGCTGCAAACCAAGGCACACCAAGGACTGACGACCGCCACCAGAAGCTGGGAGGAGGCAGGGAAGGCTCCCACCCAGTCTCTAGGAGAACCCAGCCCTGCCGACACCCTGCTTTTGGACTTCCGGCCTGCAGAACTACGAGAGAATAAATTTCTGTTTTTTCAAGCTACCCCATTTGTGGTGCTTTGTTATAGCAGCCCTGGGAAGTAATACAACAGTTTACATAAAACAATAATCTTAGATGGTTTTTCTCATGGTGTTGTCCAAAAGGGAGACGAAAACGGGGGCTCTGGCACTCCGTCATTACAGCCCGTGAGTCACAGAGCAGGTAGCGCGTGAGCTCACGTGGGCCACAGCAGGACTCTGAGCCCAGGGGTCAGATGGGTCCTGCGCTCTCCCTCCTCCCACACCACCCTCGTTTGGGGCTACTTGCAGCGACCCGCATCTCGACGTCCCTCTACCTGTTCGATCTCGCTGGAGATCTGCAGGGCCTCCCGCGCCGCCTTCTCTGCCCGCTGGGCGTCGGCGGCAGCGCTGCCCAAAGCTGTCTCTGCCTGTCGGGTCTTGTGACTGGCGTCCGTGACCTTCTGGCTGATGTGCGAGAGTCTCTTCATGGCCTCTTCGGCTTCTGCTTTTCTGTCTCCAACCTGCAGGTCGAACTCTGACATGAAGAGAAGAAAAAAAATGTCACGACAATAACAGCAAACTTACAAATGAGTGAGAGTGGCTGATGTGCTATATAAAAATCCCCCCAAAGAGTGTCATTACTGACTGGGATGGGGGTGTGGGAAGTTGTCACTTTAAAAGTGACCTGAACCATGAGATACTAACCTCTGAGATTCTTTAGGATACTCTCAACTTCATAAAAGGTGGCATTGCCCATACTTAGTGCTTCTTGCGCTCTGCTTTTAGCAAGATTGGCCCGGGAAAGCAGCTGATCTGATTTCTGTAAATAGAATCAGATTAGAGGAAGTACATTCCTGCTAGCAAAATCACTCTCATACATTTCTCTTTCTGGTGATTCACCATAAAGTCTAGGGGTGCTGGAGCAAACCCCTTTAAAATCTGGGAAAGAGCAAATTTTATAAGTCAACAACACATCCCGGATAAAGAACAGTCTCAAACTCTAGTCCACCATCAGGTACAGGAATAGTTTCGGAAATTGTAATTTTAAACTCTAAATACTTCCTGAAGCCAAACTCCTGGACAAGAGTTAGACCAATCTGGGGGATGGTCACACTTGAAGCTCAGACTTATGGGGGGAGGGGGGACAAGGGCATTATTTGAAACCTTAAAATTTGTACCCCATAATATGCTGAAATAAAAAAAAACAAAAACCTTAAGAGATCAGCAAAAAAAAAAAAAGGGTTAGACCAAAATTAAACCTAAGAGGACTGGGACCTCACCCTAGGTTTGAGGGCTGACTCAGTGGGTGTAGCTGTGCTAATCACATCAAGATCTCTGCCTCTCAGTTACTTCCTCTATAAGCAGTGGCACTGTGACCTTCAGAGAGCTTTTGATGGTTCTTCTTGACATATTGATTCACATGCTAGGCATCTAACGCATGCTTATTGAATGAACAAATTAACAAAGGATACCTGTCTCCCATTCCTTCCATTCAGTAAGAGCTGCTGGGTTTCTTCTTCCCAGTTTCCCAGATTGCTGTGCACACGCTTGAACTCGTCCATATGCCTGGTCACCAGGCTTGAGAGAGAATCAGCTTTTTGTTTGATCCTCTTTGCTTCCACCTGTGAGCCGAAGAAATGCATGAGTCTGCCTCTCTGCTCACCAGTCACCACGCCGGCCTCCTCAGGACCTGGCATCACTGTTTAAGAACAGCAACAGCCTTAAGAAGCCAAGAAAATAGTCACTCGCTATCCAGGCCCAAAGCCTAATGGAAATGGGGCAGTGTGCCCAACGAAAGTCAGGCGGCAGGTCCCCCAAGTGTCAAACAGACTTTGTCTCTCTTCTTTTTTCGTTTTTAAAATTTTACATGCTAGTTTATATGTTTCCATGGGAACATATGTCCATGGGAATCATGAGTGTTTTCTGCTGTAGGTAACAAGCTGAATCTTCTTAATTTAATAAATTTGGAATAGTTAAGGGAATTGAAGGCAGAAACAATGCAAAACTTTTGAGAACAAAAGTTGTCTAAGTGGTTATACATAGAGATATACTATGGGTTGACCCAAGTATAAACATAGAACTTTATAATAATTTCTCAGTTTTCAACAGCCCCATAAACCAGGGAAGAGATATAAAACTTATAACTACTACTAGGTTCAGGATGGGCCAAGCTCTTCCAAAGACTAGTATGGGGGTTTAAGAACAAAGAAATGGATAATGAGGAGGCCAAATACTCTTCCTACTCTAAAGCAAGAAAGGCTAACAGGGAGAAACACCAGAGAAGAAAGCATCTATGCTTTAGAAAAACCTTCTTTTGTACATTGAGCACACAGGCCAGACATTCTCACCTGAAAGGACGGGTCACTGACTCCCTGCAGCTGGGACACTGAATCCAGGAGGCGCAGACTATGTTGATAAGACCTATCTGCCTCAATGTCAGTTTGAGTGGCCTCCCTTGACAGCTGCTGGGCCAGGGACTTGGTTTTCTCCAATCTACAGGGGGGAGGGTTAAAAAAAAATAGGACTTTAGAATTCACCCTTTTTATGAAAGCAATAATTCATCCTGTTATAGTTGGAATAACCGGAAGAACCAAACAAAGTAATGTGTCAGACATGTATCCTTTCCCACAATCTGAATATAAGCCTTTTAGTTTAGACAGGTTGGGTTACAAAAATTCAACCCAAGTTTCCCAATTTTGATAATAGAAACCTATTATCTTTATATCTGCCACGTCATCAGATGGATTTACTCACACCCTTCAGATACCACAGAGGGTGACCATACCTCCAAGTACTACAATGTCTCAGTAAAAAACATAAACTTTACTAAATTAACCAGCTTTTTCTTCTTCCAGACTTAAAAAATATCTGCTTCTCCCCAAAATAACACCCTAGCGTTAATATTTTTTAAAGAAACATGGCGCCCCTCAAGTACGGTTTACACTAAACCCTGGGCAGATGCAGGGTCTTCTAGGCCGCACCAGGACCTGTTGAAACATACTTTCCCACAAGCCCTTGCACCACAGCGCCATCCAGGCTGCCGCTTCCGCCTCCTTGGCTCCAAGCTTTGCTGGCCAGTGCTAGCGCCTGTTTGGAATAGTCCTCAGTTTCCCTTGCCAGTTGCTCCATGTTACTGGCTGACTCAACGTGACTGAAAGGATTAAAAACAAAGAATCAGAGTTATCACAGCAAAGGGTTTCCTTTAGGCGGTTCAATTAATGGCTGAGTAAGGGAACTGTATTGGGTTAGAAAAACCTAACAGAATTGGCCCAGGCTAGATGGAGTTAGAGGAACTATCAAGAAGCAGCAGGTGTTCGGGAGAATTAGGCTCACGTCACAGACCTTGTGGTGATCTTTACTGTTTATGGCACAATCAGTGGAAGCCCAGAGTGGGGTGGGGTGGAGAAGGGTGATAAAACATTGCATCTGTAAGCTCTTTTCTGCAGGAAGAAACTGCTACGTCTTATTATCTCCCAGGATCCAATCCCTGCTCAATTTCGCTGCGACTCTAAACTGGGCCCACCACTAGGGGGACAAGGCGTGTCAGTAAAAGTTCTCTGGATGCTTTTGTAGTCCTCAATCTAGAAAGTGGTTTACAAAAAGGGGGTGGAGGGTGGGGGCGGATGGTGAGGAGGCAGCTCATGCTACAAAAACACAACCCAGCCTTCCACTGAATGAATTCCACTTGGGATTAACAGAGCCTGCCACCCTGCTGAGCACTGGGGCTAGGAGCAAACCTCTTAAAACATGATAGGATTCATAGTTACAGGCAAGGATGAAGGGAACTGCCTGTTATCACTGGGGCCCTGCAGAGCCGGTTTCCAGAAGGAAGTCCCCCACTCTGCAGACTTAGCCCCCACATGCTAGCAAACAACTCGTTGCTACTTGTTCCCAGGCTTGATGTGGGAGCCTGGGAGTCCCTGAAAGCTGCAGAGCATTCTTTTCCAAGGGCTGATTCATTTCACGGGACCCAAGGAATCACATCTGACATACACCAAAGCCATATTATGAGTCATGGGGAAACTGGGAAAGAAACACCCCCACCCACCCCCAACTGCTGCCAAAGGACCCTGCAGTGGCCACTTGCATACACTAAAAGCCAGTGGTTAAAAACTGGCCTTAAGGTAGGGGATGGCTGCAAAGGAGCCTGGAGAGAATGAATATGGTGCTTGGGTCCTGCATACCCTACAGTCTTAATCAAGTCTGGCCTTGCAGAGACAGCCTGAAGCAGAGGTACCCTCTCACGCTGCTCACCTGTCTGCCAATCTTGTGGCCTCCTGAGCCAGACTTTTAAAGCCATTTGGCCCCGTGTAGTGCTCTGAGGGAGGAATGTTCTGTGGAAAAAGGACACTTGGTTAGGGCTTTGCTCTCAGCCATGGAGCCTAAGTAGGTGCAGCACCTGACCTGTCAGAACCCTTGTCAGCCACACAGCGTTCTACTCCCCGACACTCACACCAAAGTCTCTGTTCACCACGATCATTCCATTAACAAGAAAAGCATGTATAGACAAAAACAAAGTAGAAATCCAAGTTCAAAAAAGGTCTGCATATAGATGCATTTAAAAATATACACATGTACATATTTTTATATATATTTAAAGCCCAGTAGAATATACACCAAGTTTTAACAGTGGTTATTTAGTAGTAATGGAATCATAGGGGATTTTTGCTTATTTTCTACATTTTCTACAATAAACATTTTTATAACAAGGGAAAAATCAATATGCGTTATTTTTTAATGTGATTTCCTCATCATAGTATCTGATTATCTCCCAATTTTCTTTATTCATCTCCAACCCATCCACTTACATTGGTGTCACTATAGTCTTCGTAATGCTTCAGAAATAGAAGCATGTTCAATCAACTCTCTCCTACCATACCAAAAACTACATTGTTAAGGAAATCATACTGGAACAATTCTTTTCTATTTCAAGACCATATCTTTATTGGGCTCCTTCCTTCCTTTCTTCCTTCCCTTTTCATTCATTCATTCATTCCTTTATCCATTCATTCATTCGTGCAGCATTCACCACAGCCATACTCTGTGCCGTGGGCTGAGAATGCAAATATGAACAAAAGTGAGCCCTGGCCTCTGGGAGTTCACAAGCCAGGAGGCAGGCAGAAAGAAGGAAGGACAGGCAAGGCCAAGGTCAGGATGTGGTTAGAATAAATGAATTAGGGAGAAGAACATAAGGTAGTACAATGGGCAATTGCAGGAGACCAAAGACATAAAGAACAGATGTGACTATTGCAAGGAAGAGAAGTCCACCTGCCTTCCAGGTAGACCAGAGACAGAAAGTGAGCCAGTGAGACCCACAGGTGGGTTTCCCAACACGGCAGTGATTCTCAAACCCTAACCCAGCCAAACCTACCGTGTTTTGCAAGGAAGCCTCGCTTTCCGCCATGCTCACTCGCAGCTGAGCGATGAGCCTGCGTGTGTCCTGAACTCGGCTCTGATACTGGCTTCCCAGGGCCCGAACTCTTTCCGCAGTCATTTTGAGGTCGTCCAGGCGGCTCCGATAGCTGTTCTCTTGGCTCCTCATCTTGGCCAACTGGAGACCGAGGGCTCGACTAGCACCTGAACACAAGGAAGGAAAGGGCGGATGAGCACTTTCCGGGTCAGTGTGGAGCTGTAAATCATAACGGAGGGTTGACTGGCTTATGGCAAAATGACAAAAATGTGCATGCAACCGTTCTTTTATCTCTGCCATTCAGGTACCAGGGGAATGTCACAGACAGTCCTTCTACCTCTGCCAGGGCTGCTGAACTGATGTCCACAGAAGATTCTGTGACCTAGCGCAGCAATTCTTTCTAGGGCTATGAATTCTCTGCTGTCTAAAGAAGGAAGTTGGCGTCATCACCTTCTGAAATCTGGGCTTCTCTCAGAATGTCCCGCAGGGCCTGCTCAGCCTGCTGCATCCTGCCTTCCAGCTCTGTGTTGGGTATTGCTCCGCCGCCAGCCTGAGCGTTCGAAACCAGGGCCTCCAGGCTCTGAAGCTGCTGCGTAAATTGATCCATCTGAAACCACACGGGAGAGAGGATCAGAGGGAGGATGGAGACAGCCGTCCAATACCAGGCACTCAGAGTGCTTGGCATGTCATGGTGGTTAAAAGTTTAGACTCTAGAGTTTAGATTCCTTGAGCTTGAATCCTGGCCCCACTACTCACTAGCTGTATAAGCGTGGGCAAGTCACCTTATTTAGCTATAAAATGGGGTTAGTAAAAATAATAACACTACCTCCTCGAATATTACTTGAATCATATGAGTTAATAACTGCAAGGTGCTTAGATCAGTGCATGGCATAAAGAAAGTGCTATAAAAGACTTGTTAAACAGATACATTTAAAAATAACGCGTTAAGTTTGTTCTACATTTAGAGTTCTGTTTGGTCCTTTTTCTCCCCCACCCCTCATTCCAGAAAAATAATAATCAATACCTAACAACAACAACATCAAGCTCATTCTTCTCTGGAATTCAAATGGGAAGTTTCTGGAGGCCATTCCTGTTTGGAAAGCCTTGATACCTTCTGGACTATTCATGTCTTTTATGTTTATGGGTTGTTGGTTTTTTTTTTCCCCATTTGTTTTACAAGAATATCTCTGGGGAAAAAAATCTAGCCGGAAAGTGGCATATTATAGTGGAGAGCAGGGAGCTCAGTGTCAGGGGATGTGGGTGGGATTCCTGGTTCCACCTAGCCGAGCCACTTTGGAAAGTTGCAAGTATTTTGAGATTTTGACCGGTGAAAACTGAGGTCAGAATACTTTTTCTTCCAACTCAGCTAAGTTATCGTGAGTACCAAATGAGATAATATTTGCAAAAGGGGTTTTGAAAATGGCAAATATAAGAACATAAACTTGAAGTGTTATTATTATTATTATTATTTTTGAGGCAGGGTCTCACTTTGTTGCCCAGGCTAGAGTGAGTGCCGTGGCGTCAGCCTAGCTCACAGCAACCTCAAACTCCTGGGCTCAAGCAATCCTCCTGCCTCAGCCTCCCGAGTAGCTGGGACTACAGGCATGCGCCACCATGCCCAGCTAATTTTTTCTATATATATTTTTAGTTGGTCAATTAATTTCTTTCTATTTTTAGTAGAGATGGGGTCTCGCTCTTGCTCAGGCTGGTTTTGAACTCCTGACCTCGAGCAATCCTCCCACCTCGGCCTCCCAGAGTGCTAGGATTACAGGTGTGAGCCACCACACCCGGCCTTGAAGTGTTATTATTAAACAGAATTTTTTTTAAAGAAAGAAACAGTAAGCTCCACTGTATCCCCAGGAGACTAGGAAGGTCCTGGATTCGTGATAGAACCACCCCGGTCAAGGACACTGGAGGCTTTGATTCTGTGCGGACAGAGGGTGGTCAGCAGAAGCATACCCGAATCTTCACTTGGTTATAGCACGCTGGACAGCTGCTCAATGCTGCTTGCTCACAGTTGAGGCCACCAAAGCCTGGCTTACAAACACAGCTGCCATCACTTCGACACTCTACGGGCTCTGAGCCCCTCGGGTTGCAGTTGCAAGCTAGAGACAGGAGACAAATGGAGCATTCACATGAAACTAATCCCAGAAGCTGGAGGTATAGCAAAGCTACAAGGAAGAAGATGAAATCTCTAATGGCAGAGAATCCTTCTTTGCCCTCATCAATGCATTTTTGTGATGGAGTCGTCTCCTGGCTATGTGCATCTTCAAACACATTCCTAATACAGACAGGTCTTAGCAATCATCTGGCAGGTTTGTTTGATGCACATGGAGGCAGAGAGATTACAACAGTCCAACCTTTCTGGCAGCATTCATTTTCTTCCTCCACTTACGCTGAAACCCTATTAGATATTCCATAGGCACTCTGGCTCTGTTCTCAAGGTGAATTACATTTCTTCCAGGCCTATTATGTGCTTGAGGTAGACATTTCCCTCTATTTTATGGTTAGGAATATGAGCTCAGAGGGGTTGAGTAGTTTGCCCAAGGTCACACAGCAGGTAAATGCCAAGCTGCAAGGAGAGCTCGGAAAAAACTAATGTTCTTTTCTGTCTGGCCTGCTGCCTTGATGTAGGAAACGCAGTAAGAAAGCAGCACCTTCACTCATTCAGTCAAATTGACTGAGCACCTGCCATAGCCAGGTTCTGTTTTAGGAGTTAGGCATGTAACACTGGGTGAGACACTGCTCTGATGATCACAGTGATTCTCTGGGTGACAGTGATTTTCTGGGTTTTTCTATCTTCAGTGCTCATAAAACACGGATCACGGATCTAAGTGTACTATCATTATTTGCACACATATTTTCGTGCCTTCCTTTTTAGCATATAATCTCTATTTAGGAGCTGGGATGATTTATTCATTATTATAACTTCAACATCTAGGTCCACACTGGGTACATGGTTGGCCCTTGATAAAAGATAGTTGAGTGAAGAAATGTGTGGTCTAAAGCCAATGAAATCTCTGTTAATAACCTACAACTGTAGCTAGAATTACAGAGTTTTCACTGTGCTTTCTCACATCCACCACCTCGAGTTAGATATCATCCATTCATATGAGGAAATAGGCTCAGTGAGATTAATTATTGTAATCAGCATAACGCAGCAGGTATGTTACAAGCAGGACTTGAACTCAGGACTGCTGGGTGTCACATGGGCCCCTCCTCTCAGGGTCGCTTTCCAGCGCATCACAGCTAACCCGGAGGCTGGTGTCAGTCTGGCCCAGAAGTCCCCAAGGGATTTGTGCCCCTAGGCGGAAGCCTCAGCTTGTACCAAGGCCCTGAGGCTCGTCCAGGTGGAGACTCTGGTGTGAAGGGGAGGCTGGGAGCTCCCCGAAGACCTCTGGGCCTTCCTGAGGAGCAGGAGTCCTCCAAACTGGGTCCCCAGAGCCACTCTGGACCTTATGATAAGCAAGCTCCCGAGTGCTGGGCCCCGGGGTCAGTTGGGGAGTAAGGGTGAGTCTGCAGCGCAGGCCAGCTCTGGAACATAAGGCGTGCAGAGGTCTGGCGGAACAGCTGGGCAGGAGGACCCGTGTGTGTGCACATTCGTGCTTTGATCTGAAGTGGCTCTCAGGAACCCTCCGCGACTGTCGCTGCTTTGAAGCCCTTCGGTGAGAAAAGCTTTCGACTGTTACCTTCCTATACGTCAATCACGCGGACTTCCTGAGAGGGTCTCTTAAGCCACTTTACAGCCCACCCCTCCCCACTTGAGTTTGTTCAGGCTCCGTCTGGAGTCCTTTATTACACTCCTGTCACAGGTCTGGCAGCCGCCTCCCTGCCTCCCTGCCTCCGGACTGGGCGGAGGATGTGGCCCCATCTTATCTGCTCTTTCACTTGGGAATGTAAACCTGACCTTTTCCACTTCTCCGCCCAGCTTCCCCCAGCTCTGTCTGCCACATTCCTGCCACACGGGAAGCTGGCCTGATGGTCTTCGAAAGGGGTGAGTCCAGGCCACCCACAGGCCAGTGTGGTCAGACAGCCAAATAGCATCCCGTCCACGGCCGCCTCCCCCTGCGTGTGTGCGTACACGCCAGCCAGCTCACACGGACACGATACACACAGACACAGCCGCTCTGGGCTGCAGTCCCACCTCGACACTTGTCCGCCGGGTTGGGAGCCAGCGGGTCCCCAAAGTAGCCCGCTTTGCACTGGTCGCAGTAGACACCGGCCGTGTTGTGGATGCACTTCAGACACCTGCCCGTCAGCCGGTCACAGTTCCCGGAGGCACCGGGGTCCACGTTGTTGTTGCACTGGCAGGGCTGACAGGGCCTCACTGGGCCACGCTCCCCGAAGGGGTCCCCAAAGTAGCCATCCGCACAGAGCTCACAGCGGGCACCTGGGGAGGGACAAATGGCCATGTGCCGGTGGTCATTCATTGGCAGCAAGACCAGACGCAGAGGCCTAAAGCAGCACGGCACCCTCTGGAAGCACTTTCCCTGGGACGCCCAACAGTGCTCGCAGGAGCAGGCACACGTGGCAGGTGCTGGCCTGTCACTGTCACTCCCAGGGCACCACGGAGTTTAGAACTGAGCAGCCCCACTAAGAGACTTAACTAGCTGCTTTGGGGGAAAATAGCACAGAGGTGGTAAGAGCCACCAAGGCTGCTGCTGAAGGATCAATTCTTCTTTTAGAAGAATGGACCAGCAGAGGGATAGGACATTTAAGAGGTCGCTAAGTTTTCCATCTTTACTTTGGTTCATTGAAAAAAAAAAACAAAAAACTTAAATCGTGTATCTGGTCTGAAAATGTTATCTCCTAATTATATTACAGACCTCCCCAAACTGCTCTAGATGTTTCCTCCCATAACTGTAACTCTGCCCTGCTCAATCCACTGCGCCCGTTGGGCATTGCGCTATCTGATCTTTCAGACATCATCTCTAGAGTGAGCGCCCTTAGATTAGCCCCATGTCATTATAATTTCCTAGAAATTCTTTGGCATAGAAGCGATTTGCATGAATCCCTGACATCAGGACAGGAAGAAGCGGGCGCAGGCAGGCCGGGGCTTACCGGTGACCCCCGGGGGGCAGTTGTTGCACACCACCTCCTCCGTCTCGGGCATCACCGAGCAGCTGAACCCATTGTGACAGGGGCACGGCTTGCAGCTGCGGGGGTCGTGTGGGTCATTGTAGAAACCAATGGGGCAGTCGGCACACTCGACGACGTCAGGATTCTCATCCCCCGAATAACAGTCTCCTGGGAGGCGGAGGATGGAGGGAAGAGAAGTGAGCAGGGTTAGACAATACATTTCCTTCCGTATGGATGATGCGTGAGGGTCAGACGGTGGAAAGGCAAAACCTGCTTTGCGGGAGCTTTGCCCACAGTGTCCGAGCACTGGCATTTTCCCCTGCTCGGGGTTCTAAATCCAAACACAGCTGAGACCGGAATCGCACCCTACTCTCCCATGCTAAGTAGACACGCTTCCTTCACTGTCCATCACTTAACATGGTTCCCCTCCCCACCGTGGCCGACACCATTTGTGGGCTCATTCAGGCACATTCATTTAGAGCGCTACTTGCCTTTGATCTGCCCACACAATTCTTGCAATTTGACACCAGCTCCCCCACCCAGCACTGAACCATGACAGCCATTTCCTGTAACCTAGCACCTTTCTCACAACCTTGTGCCATTTCCATAATGAAAAGGATTGAGTGCAATAAAGCACCATGTCCATCCATCTTCCCGCCTCCGGCCCTACTCTCCTAATCCTTTCCCATCTCCGAAGCGAGGGCAGGCGTGGTCTTTCTTACACAGCTCTATCTCTGCCGCAGGAGACCCCAGTCACCAGGCCACACCCCAGCCCGCCTGGTCCAGGTACCATCTCACTCACCTGTGTCTGGGTCACAGGCCCCGCCCCCTGGGCAGTTACATGGAACACAGGTGCCGAAAGGCCCCAGTCTGGCTGAATCTCTTTTGTAGCCAGAAGCACAATCCTGGCAGAACTGGCCCTTGTACCCAGCGGGACATACACAGTGCTCGACCCAGGGTGCCGGGGCTCCAGAGACAGGGCGGGCTGAGACCAGGGTTACATTGTCGATGTACCCAGTACCTGCAGTAGAAAGAACAGGTTAGGAGAGTAGCAAGCGGTAAGTAAGGTCTAAGGAGCTAAAGTCAGACAGCTCTTGGGATTTTCTTTTTCTCAACTTCCTATCAAAGACGGTGTTCACACACCATGCCGCGTGGAGAGGGGGAGCAGGCCAGCGTCATGACCGAGCGCACAGGCTTCGGAGTCAGAAAACTCCAGGCTTAAATTCTGGCTCCACCTTCACTAGCTGTGGGAATCAGTCAAGTCACCCAGCCTCTCCATGACTGTATTTTCTCAAGCGTACGAGAGAACTAACAGCGGTATCTACCTCCTAAGGTTGTCGTGAAAATTAAATGAGACAACACATTTATTATCATGTTCCTGGCACATAGTAAAGGCTTGATAAATTGTTAGTAAACACCTTTTCTATTTCCTGCTTTATTCGTGCATCAGTGACATGGAAATGGTGCGTGCTAGCCATGCTTTCTTTTTGCATGGGTGCTAAAAAGCTTAAGGAACTCTTGTTAAATAATTCCACTTGGGATTAGGAGGACCCAACACACGAAGTTCAAAGAAGGGAATTAATAGAATATATAATGTCCAAACATGGGGCAGTATGGAGTATAATCCCCAAAGGAAAAGTGACTTAAGGAACAAATACCACTGTGTTGTAGATGCCATTTCCTAGCTAAGGAAATGTGTCCATTTGTTGTAGATTGTTTTTCTCAAATAATCAGCTTTAATCTAAACTCAGAGACTCTTTTAGCAAGGTATCATCATTCACTCTTCATTGGTGCTAACCTCTTTTTAGAGAAACACTCCTTTTTAAAAAACTTCTGGACTGTAAAAAATTTAGAATCAATTAGAGATACTAAGTCAAAACCATCAAGGAATTTATCTACTTGTTTGGACACTGTCATCACCTTAGAGAGCTGAAATAAAGGAAGCCAAAACCTAAGAAGACAGAATCCATTTACTTACTGTATTCTCCATATGTAGCTCGGATCCGGAGGGCCGTGAGGTTCCGCAGTAACCTCCGATACTCAAAATAACTCAGCTGGGGGCTCCACTTACTGCTTGGATGCTCATTTAACCTGCATAATTTAAAACCAAAGCTTTAAAAATATGATTTTTATCACATCCCTACCTGATAGCTAAGCCCCTTCACAGTGTTGCTGAGAGGGGTGCAGGACTAGCAGCCACCTCCCCGTGGCCATGAACTTGGAGCTTCCTCGCTCCATGGGAAGGCAAACCCCACAGGAAGTGATGGAGGGCATCCCAGTGCGGAAAGTCTAGACCTAGGGCCATGTCACCAGAAGCAAAGTCTCAAGTCCTTAGACACCACTTTCTGTTCTCGGCCATGCAAATCCTAATATTAGAAACATCTGTGAGTTCCAGAAGTTCTGACCCTCAAGAGCTACCATTCATTTTTGGGTTTATTTAAATTATTTGTTTGTTATCTGAGACCATTACACTTACTTTTTTCAAAAACCAGCGTCCACTTTCTACATTGTCTGTATCCAATACGTCTTCATTTGGAATCATGTGCCTCACTGCATCATATCATCAGCCCCCGTGCTATTCTTTTAAATTTTGTTCTGTTTTTTACTGGAATATCTCTTCCGGGAACAACCCTATCCTTTTTGTTTCATTCACTGATTCCTTAAATGAAAGTTGACTGTGCACATGGCTTAGGCTAGAAGCTGTGTCGGGCTGGAGATACAAAGTCAGCCAGGGGAGTAAGGTGGGCAGACAAATGGTTATAATATAATACAACGCAGTGGGGGCTATAACAAATGCATGCACAGAATGCCACAGAAACTTTACCTGGGAATCTGAGAAGGCTAATCCACAGGAAGAACATGCAAGCTGAATCTCAAAGAGTAAGTTCACCAAGCCTAGAAGGTGGGGCTGGTATTCCAGACAGGAGAGCTCTGTGTGTGGGCATCACTAGAATCAGCAGCACTCGGTTACCTAACACACATCTTGTGTGTGTGCGGGACTCTTCTTTTCTCTATTCCCATTACCTCTGCCCTGGTTAGGCCCCTAACCACATTCACAGTGAAAGTGCCCGCACGGTCTAGTTAAGGACCCTACCCAAACTGTCCTCCACACGGTCCTGTATTTGCACCCAGCCTTCATACCTGACCGTGACACTTTTCAACTTACACTCTCTCAGTGGCTTTCCATCATTTTCCTGGCATGGACAAGATCTAAGCACCTCGACATGACAGGCAAGGCCCACTATGATGAGTCCTTTTCCAACCTTTGCAAACGTATCTCCCCATCTCCCCTACATATGCTACGTTCCAGCCACAGCGGCTTGCCAGTTCCCCCTAATGTCATGCCTGTCCCCACCACACATGTTCACACGTGAAGGCTGCCCTTCTCTGACTTTTCTCCCTGGAAAAGCCCCATGTGCCTTTCTAATCTCAGCCCACTGGCTGTCTCTGCTGTGAAACTTTCCCTGACTCCTCCAGGCAGAATTAGGCCAATTCCAAGACCCCATGAACATGCAGCACCACTAAAGAAATTGTCTTACTGCATTACATTTCATTTTTGACACGTTATATATCCTACTAGATCATGATTTCTTGGAGGGCAAAGACCATGCTCCATCCTTCTATTCCAGCCTCTAATGCAGTGCCGAGCATTCAATAGGCACAGCTCCCTTCCCTGACCTCCCTGGATGCGCCATTTAGAGTCCCCGGCTACAGGATCCCGTGCAATTCCTGCAGACACAGCCAATCCCTGCCTCTTCCTCCCTCAGTGCAGCCCTCTTGCCCACTTCATGCTCGACCACTTGCAATTTCCTAAATGCACAAAACTTCCTCAAGCATATTATGTCCTATGCCTCCTTAAACTTTCCCTCCTTTTCTCTCTTTAGAGAGCTGCCCCTCACATTTGTCATGTCTTCCTGGGAAGCTTTCCTTGATCAGTCCAGTGCGCATCAGTCAAAACACCGCGTCCCCCTTGTCCCTCTCTGTCCCTTGACAAACTGCCCTGTAATCATCTGTTTATTTCTCTTTCCCATCGGCCTGTTGGCTGTTCAAGGGAAGGAATCACGTCCTGTCTCAGAGGCACAAGGCACCATGCCTGATGCTCAGAAAAGCTTGTTGGCTGAATGAATGATGAGTGAATGAATGAACAAAGGAAGTGAATTTCAGTCTCAGTTTGCTCCATGTGACCTACTTGTGGTCTTTTTTTTTACCTGAATGTGTATGTCTTGGTGATCCCACAAGGCAGCGTCTTGCCAAGTGGCATCAAGGGAGCCGTGATCCGCAGCCCAGCACCTTCCAGGGTCACATCCTGGGCAGATGGGTGTCTGCCTCCTCTGTCCACACGGTAGTCAAAAGACAGGCTTTGCCCATAGCTCACCTGTTGATTCCCAAGAAATTTGGCTGTGAAGCAGAGTTTCAAAAGATTGAGATCAGTTGTGAGGCTGGAGAGATAAACACACGTGCAAGTCAGCATTGATGTCAGCAGTTTCTGTTGGGGTCCTCTGTTCCCCTGTCCAAACCACCCTACCAGAAGGGTCAGAACTGTCACTTTTTGCATAGCCACTAATTACAGAAATGCTAAAAGGGTGTCATTATAAGACAGTTCCATCTATTAGATGTTTTGTAGCATGGCCCTTATGACAGACTATTAGGTAAAGACCTCAGGTACATCAGTAACAGTGCCACTTGTTATATAATGCTTGATAGTTTGCAGAAGGCTTTCTCACATTCAATGGCAATAATTCTTGGAGGTAGGTATTACTATTCCCGCTCAACAGTAGAGAAAACTGAAGTCCAGAGAAGTTAAGAGAACAACTTGCTCATATTATCATATTACCTAAGGATAGGAACTAGGATCAGAATCCTAGCTAAAGTTTTTCACTCGGGCACATGTAACTGACTAATATGTTTTTTTGTTTTTTTTTTTGAGACAGAGTCTCGCTTTGTTGCCCAGGCTAGAGTGAGTGCCATGGTGTCAGCCTAGCTCATAGCAACCTCAAACTCCTGGGCTCAAGCGATCCTGCTGCCTCAGCCTTCCGAGTAGCTGAGATTACAGGCATGCACCACCATGCCCGGCTAATTTTTTCTATATATATTAGTTGGCCAATTAATTTCTTTGTATTTTTATAGTAGAGACGGGGTCTTGCTCTTGCTCAGGCTGGTTTTGAACTCCTGACCTCCAGCAATCGGCCCGCCTCGGCCTCCCAGAGTGCTAGGATTACAGGCGTGAGCCACCTCGCCCGGCCATATGTTTTTAACTTACAAAAGTTTGAAGCTTTGAGAAGTGCTTTGTTTTTGCATTTCCATCTGCTTCTCAATAGACCCACAGATTTGACCACAGTCCTTGATTTGGTGGCAAACCTAGAAACGTCCCATTTGATTGAAGCGGGCACTCCAGCCGGGGTCTGACCTCCAGGTCCCCACTCTGCTCTACCGGGCCATGTCTCAGGGATGCTATCAAATTGGGCTTAAGCCCACTGTCTGCTGGAGTTACTGCTCCCTTGAACAACATTAAGTGATGTGGTTTCCGTGATTTCTATCTTGACTTCCTACAGTCCTGGAAATTGGCTTCTATAGGAAACATTATCCCTCACATACCGGGAGCCACAAAATAGACAGGGTCGGACCGGCGGGCCGAGCTAAACACGTCCTGATGGCGCTGCGACCACTGGAGCTTTGCGGGGGACCCGTTTCTGTGGACGGCCTTCCAGCCGTCGACATCTGCAAGACAAATAAAGCCAGTGTGCAAATAAAGCCACCGTCCAGGTGGTAGTAGCCAGGTCAGCACCTGCTGGGGCATTTTGGAATCAGGATGATGTCACGGGTTATTTTTTATTCCATAGAGAGATGGATTCATAGAGGTGGATTCTGCCTCTTTCTGCCTTCTCTCCCACTTGTCCCTACTAATTCCCAGAGGGAGGAAATGCGAGACAAACCCTAATCATTTTGGGGTTAAACGAGGCAAGGCTTGCTTGCCAAAATGTCCTAGTGGTGAGTAGTAAGTGGGGTTTTCTCAATCTTTCTGCATTTGCACACCGTCCTTTAAATGCCCCATGTGCCTCTCTACCTGGATCTCAGCTTCCCCCACTTCCACCCCGCAGCTGCTCGGACTGCCCTCCTCTTTGAGTTTGACTCTTGCGATAAGAGAGCAGGTTTTCATCTGTCCGTAATGTGCATTTTTATGTATTTACATAAACGGGGTCTGGCCTCAATGAGGTGAGAGGGTTCAGTACCTTTTAAGAGAAACTCGGGCATAGCATTGAAATAATATCACCTGCCAATATCTTTATAGTGCTCTGCAGCCTGGCAACTAATTTCACATAAACTAACTCATTTAATGTATGTGCAAGCCGCATTATTAGTGAACGTGAATGCCAGGAAGACTCACAAACTCCCCAATCCAAGTGGAGACTTCTTTTGTGGCTTGGAAATAGACGGGGAGGGCGCATGCAGGGAGATAAAAGTCTAATCTCTTTTTATTCTTGTGAGTTATTCCTACGCTGGTACGAGTTAACCGTTCAACTATAACTTGGTCAAGACATCGGGGCACGCCTCATCGCCCTGCCAAAGCAACGAACGTCACACACTGTGCGAGAATTGCTAAAGATGAGGCAAGAATCCATCGTGGGGATGGGGAGGTGGCCGTCTGTAAGCACAAACCCCTGTCCCACGTTAAAAAACAAAAGCCTAGGAAACGGAAGGCTGTACCGTGAGGGAAGGCCGAGGTGATCTTATGGACGCTGTAGTCGGCGGAGCTGTGGCAGCTGGCGGAATGGCCGTAGCAGAAACACTGCGTGCAGCCCTCGGGGTTCCTCCCGTCCAGGTGGTAGTAGCCGGGTCGGCACCTGCAGGGGCATTTTGGAATCAGGATGATGTCACGGGTTATTTGTTATCCCATACAGAGAGTACGAGGGTGGATTCTGCCTCTTTCTACCTTCTCTCCCATTTGTCCCTACTAATTCCCAGAGGGAGGAAACGCCAAGTCTCCCGTGCCACCTGCACTCCCAGACCCCCTGATGGGCAAACAGTCTCCCAGATGAGGGAGCGCGAGCAGCACTCACTCGCTGGAACAGAGTCACCTTCGTCTGGGGGAGGGGGGGACCTGAAAACTTAGTGATTCGCCCATCCTCGGAGAGGAATTGAGCAGAGGTCACATGGCCGGGACGGGGAGGGTGGGACAGGCACATGCAGAGCTGCCCGGTCCTGCAGCAAGCGCTTCGTGGGAACGAAAGAGGGGACAGTGGGGACCAGGGAGGCCGAGGCCCTGCCTCAGCACCACGCAGCTATACCGACCCCTCATAGACCACTTGGTGTCGGTCCCCACCCTTGTCCCTTGTACCTGGGCTCTGACGCACACAGGAAATGAGCAGGAGAACATAAGGCAAAAAAAAAAAAAAGGATGGCTAGAGACACTCTCCAAAAGCCACGTGTAGGCTTCATTCCACCCCTGCGCCCCGGGCTTCTATGAAGACCACAATGGCCGGCGAATCTTAGATGTTGGGGTCACAGAGAAGAGGGCAGGGAATCTGGGGGGCAGTTGTTTCCTCTGCTCAAGTTAACTACATCCTTTCACGTGACATAATGCTAGTTTTAATAATCATTTATTTAGCGTTGACACTGTGCCAGGCACCTTATGTATACTCTCCCACATAATCCTCCCTACCACCCTAGGTGGTAAGAATTATTATTTCTGATTTTCTGAGATGAGGTGGCCAAGGCTGGAGAGGCTAAGAGACTTGTGCGAGGATATGCAGCTGGGGAGGGGCTGAGGTGAGATTCGAATTCATGTGCACCTGTCTCCAGATTGTGTCGTCTAAGCCACAGGACCATATGCTGGGGGCATGTCCACTGTATAGTATCACAGAATCGCAGATTAGCTGCGATCAGTGCATGCTTCAGAGAACAGTTGTAATTACACAAGCATTGTCTTTTCTCCAAGAGCAAGAGTTAAAAAAATGTATTACGGGCCGGGCGCGGTGGCTCACGCCTGTAATCCTAGCTCTCTGGGAGGCCGGGCGGGAGTTGCTCGGAGCGGTCAGAGGTTCGAAACCAGCCTGAGCAGAGGAACCCGGGTCTCTACTATATTAATAGAGAATAATTCGGCCACTGGATATATTATACAAGTTAGCCATGTGCGTGCCTGGTGTGAGTCCCCGGCTCGCTGAGGCTGAGGCAGAGGCATTGCTTGAGCCACGGAGTTTGAGGTTGCTGGGAGCTAGGCTGACCCACGCAGCTCACTCTACGCCTGGGCAAAAGTTAGACTCTCTCAAAAAAAAAAAAATGTATTACGGTTTCTATGGAAAGGTAACCTGCAGATTAAAAGAGATTAAAGAACAAGGAAGGAAGGGAGGGTGGAGAGGGGAGAGGAGAGAACAGAAGGGAAAGGAAGGGAATCAAGCAAAACTGAATGAGAGTGTTCAGGAAGGTACCAGGGCAATAAATTATGAAGAAAAGCAAGAAAGTGATTACCATAAAAGTCAGCATAGTGGTCACTTCCAGGGAGGAGGGAAGCCGTTGCCACTGGATGGCACATTTTAAGCAGAGGTCTATTGGTGGTGACATTTGTTTTATGTGGCTTTCTAGTTCTGTGTTACATTTTGAAATTAAAAAGGCTTTCGACAAATGACGTCTCTTTTGAAACTTAAGCTACTTTTCCCCGCCCTCACCTCGGCAGCAAGGAACCCCTGAGAACACCAGCTAGGAATGTATCTGGCATTTCCTCCGCCCAGGTACAAGGGATTGGCAGGGGGCCAGAGAACTGCTTTCTTACTTTTAAGGAAATGGGGAGGAAACCTTTACCTCCAGGGCCAGCGCATGGCCCTACTCACAGCAGTCTCAGGGAGGGACGAGTTTTAAGTCCGAGCAGTTCGTCCTTAAGGAATCCTGCACCGGCCACCGGGGTTGGATGGCCCCTCACCGCTCCACCAGCCCCAGCATGGTGCCACCCAGAGGCTCTGGTGTCGTCCCCAGGTCATGTATGTGCATGTAACCACCAGCCCATCCCTGGGGCGGTCCCTTTTCTGAACAGGATGGTTATATATGGCCATGTGCTATGATCTTCTCTCTTACAAGGATTTTCTCAACATGTTTAATTAGGCCAGGCCTTTCCTGGGACCGACGTGAGTCATGTGGCCTCATTACTGCATACCACCTTTGCAGAGCACCTGGGATTCCGAGCCAGCTGGCGAGCGGAGTCCCTGGGGCCCTGCGCCTCTGCCAACGTACAAACAGAAGATGGGGCCCAGAGCAGGGTATGGAGTCCACTGAGATGTGGGGGCTCAGCTGTATTTTTTTTTTAAGCCTAGTTTCTGAGGACAGGGAGCAGGACGTTCATCAACATCTGTTAGGTATCCCTTGCCATAACCACACTCAGAGGGCTGATTGTCATGCTAGTTGCCAAGGGACTTTCTGCTGTCTATCGGGTTCACACAGACCTGTCACAGCGTTCTCCAGTGACAGCTGGCTTGCAGACACAACGACCCGAGTCACAGGGCCCCGCGATGCCAGCTGGGTCGCAGTCACACTTGGAGTCTCTGGGAAAGAAGCAAAAGAAAATGAGGGATGTGTTTCCAGATCTATGCAACTATGCACATAAAGGCCATCTGCTCCCGAGCAAACGTCACTCCGCCCGGCAAGTCCTTCTCCGATGAGACTTCTGGCAATCCTTGTCCATGCGGCTCTCTCCCAGCCTTAAGGACTCACTTGTCTACGCCAGGTGCAGCCCAGAGCCGCTTCCAACCCCTAACGTGACGAGCGGTTTGCACCAGAACGGAAAATAAGTTTATCACTGAACCGTTTAGTTTACTTGGGTTGACTATTTGATTCAGTGACATTTTTAAACATTTTACCATTTGTTTCTCTAATGTTTAATTCAGTCATGTCTGCTTTTTTTCATGATTGACTCCATTTACCTGCTATTTTAGTTCATTCAATTCTTTGTTTTGATAATACCTTTATCAAGATAGAATCCATTTCCTATACCATGAAATTTGCCCATTTAAAGTGTCCAATTTAATGGTTTTTAATCAATTCTCAATTTGTACAGCCATAGCTACAAATATTTTTTTCACAGATATTAATTTTAGAACATTTTCATCACTCCAAATAGAAACCACCCTATGGGCCAGGCGCGGATATTAATTTTAGAACATTTTCATCACTCCAAATAGAAACCACCCTATGGGCCAGGCGCGGTGGCTCACGCCTGTAATCCTAGCACTCTGGGAGGCCGAGGCGGGCGGATTGCTCGAGGTCAGGAGTTCGAAACCAGCCTGAGCAAGAGCGAGATCCCGTCTCTACTATAAATAGAAAAACATTAATTGACTAACTAATATATATATAAAAAATTAGCCGGGTATGGTGGCGCATGCCTGTAGTCCCAGCTACGTGGGAGGCTGAGGCAGAAGGATTGCTTCAGTCCAGGAGTTTGAGGTTGCTGTGAGCTAGGCTGACGCCATAGCACTCACTCTAGCCTGGGCAACAAAGTGAGACTCTGTCTCAAAAAAAAAGAAAGAAGCCACCTTCTGTCCTCTAGCAGTCATTCTCCGCCCCCTCACGGTTTTCCTCCCCCCACCCCCACCCCCAGCCCCAGGCAGCCACCGATCTACTTTCTTTCTCCATAGATTTCCCTATTCTAGACATTTTCTATAAGTAGAACCATACCATATACGGCCTTTTGCGATCGGTTTCTTTCACTTAGCGTAATGTTTTCAAGATTCGTCCATACCGTACCATGCGTGTAACAGCACAAAAGTTCTTTTGATGGCAGAATAAAATTCTATGGTATGGATACAACACATTTTATTTTTAGCTGTTACAGATAATGCTGCTATGAACACGTGTGCACAGGCTTTCGCGTGGACATATACATTTTCATTTCTCTTGGGTGTCCATCTAGGAGTGGAATTGCTGGGTTTGATGGACGTTTTTGTTTGGTGGCAAGACTTTCTCAGTGAAAGTGTCATCACTTTCATTTAATTCTAGCACAACCTCCCAGTTCTGTGCTTCGCTGTCTCTGTTGCAGCTTCTGCACACAATCTCGCGTCTACCTCGTGGGTCTAAACCCAAGTGTGTCAGCTTTTCCCTACCGATCTGTCGCTCCTCTGCCTGTCCTATGACCCCCCCAAATCCTGCCCAAACCAGGAGCGCCCTCGGCCCCTGCCCTCCCTCACCCAGTCAGACACAAGTCCAGTCCCCCGGCCTCCTGCCCGCCGTCGCTCCCTCCCCACTACCCATCTGGACTGTTCCACAGACACACATTCCACATCTACTGGGTGCCCAGGACTGGGGGTACTAAGAGAAACAAGAAACAACCCCCCTTCCCGAGGAGTCTCCAGGCAGGGCAGGAGGCCACAGGGCCCCCGAAGCCATGCCAGGACGGGGGACCCAGAAGTGAATGTGACAGAGCCCCAGGGGGGCTCACACTCCAGCGGGAGAAACACGTGTAGAACACGAGAGGTCTGGGTACAGCAGGAGTCAGACGTGGAGGGGAGGGGATGGTGAGGGGAGGCCCCTGTGAGGAGGTGACAAGGTGGGGTGCCCAGGAAGGCCACGCGCTGGGCTCCTGCAGAAGGGACGGCAGGCTGGTGTGGGCGGAGAGCAGGGGTGGGGAGGAGAGGGCTAAGCCACCCCGTGAGTGCCCAGCTTGGGTGGAGATGGAGGAGGACCCTGTGGCCCTCCAGGCCTCGACCCCTCCGCACCTTCCTCTGCGAGGCAGGGGTGCCGAGGGAGGGTTGCGGGCAGTGCCACATCTCCGTCAGGTTTTAAAAGGGCTACAAGGGCAGGGTGGGCCCAGGAGTGGGTCTCTGAAGATGATCTAAAGGAATCAAGGAAGGCAGAAGAGAATAATCTCTGCAAAGGCCCTGTGGGACCACGACAACGGGGACAGTGCAGGCTGCAGGGCAGAGTGGGCGATGGGCAGTGCTTCCTCTGGGGGTGGCCTTCTGGCAAATGCCGAGCTGCCGACCTCTCCACCCCCAGCCTCCCAACGCCTGCCAGCTCCACAGACGGGTTCTGTGACTTACAAAGTCTACTCCATCTTCTTCCGAAAAAGAAGTTGAGGACAGATATAGGACATTGAGAACTAAAGGTGATAAACGTTATATAGGGAAATTCTTCTGCCTCAAACTCACTACAGTCAAAATGGGCCCGAGGTTGGAACCGGAAGGACTCTTTGTCTCCATCCCGGTTCATCTAAAGGGAAGCAATTGTCAAGGCGAAGAACCAAGAACGTCAGGCAGTTTACTTCACCTCTTGCCATGTAAGTTTCTTATCTTTAAAATGAGTAGAATGATAATCCCAACCTCTTGGGGTCATGGTGAGGGCTAAATTAGACAGCCCACAGGAAGTACTCAGAACAGTGCATGGCACGCAAACGGTGCTCTGGAAATGCAAGTGGTTGCTAATACTATCGTCATTATCTGAGTAGTAGCAGCCACGGTGGGGTGCGGCGCTCACCGGCGTCTCTGGTCTTGGCTGCACCCGGCATCTGTGAGCGTGTGGAAGCCCGGCAGGCAGCGGTCACATCTGTCTCCTGTCACACCCGGTTTACAGCTGCACCGTCCAGAGTTGTCACATCGAGCACTAAGGGAACCTGTAATCCACAAGGTAGGGAAAGGAAAGAAGAAAAGGAAATATTCACTTTATACATCATCAGGAAGCAGCTGTCACCCTATGGGAGCTCAAAAAACACTTAAGTCATAACCACCACCTGCTGCCTTTCACAATTATTTCCATCCCCTCAATACCCTTCCACCCACCAGGGAAAGTTCTGGCAGCTGAGGATGTCTTCTCCAGGGGGAGAAAGGAAACTACTCATAAAAGCACCTTGCTTTGCGTGTTTGCTCTGATTTTGCCGTTAGAGAGCATCTAGCCCACTGCTCTTTGAAAGAGCATCGCGTCTCTGTGGTCTCAAGAAGGAGCCGGCGTGGGCGGCACGTGGGCCTTCGGGAGAGAGCCTGGGTTGGAAAGTGAGCAAGGTCCTCCCTTATCTCTGCAGACAAGGGTCAGTGCTGTGGCTTTTAAGAGCACGAAAAGCACAGTAACCAAGAATGTTAAAGCACACCTGCCTGGAGTGGCGGAAAGTCTTCCCTGCGGGGCGGGGCCCAGGCGAGGGATGAGGGCCCCGGGCCCTGGACTTGGACTACTGGACTTGTCTCATGAGCCCGGTGTTTACAGACACACTCTTATTTGTAAGTGAGTTTTCTCAGATTGATGATGAAAAACGAGAGTTGCTCAGGATAACAAACCGTGTCGCCGTGGGATCCGCCCGCTTCTCCCCACCTGCCTCTGCACACCCGCTCCAGCCCCCATCTCTCTCCCCTAGCTCTCTCCTCCCTGCATTCTCCGTGGGCAAGCAGAGGGCTCTTCTCAAAACTGAAAATTCAGAACACGTAGTCCCCCGGTGGCTCCCCACCCTCCGCAGAATAAAACGCAAGCTCCGAACCACCTGCAAGACCCGACCTCTTCCCTCATCTCCCCGCTCCTTCAGCAGGTTGCAGCCACCCAGCTCCCTTCCTGGTTCCTGCAAAGTGCCACGCTGCTGCCACCGGGTGTCTGCACTGGGGGCTCTCTCAGCCTGGAACGCTCTCTGTGCAAACTTCCCTGCTTGGCCCATTCTCAGCACTCGGGCTCGATTCAATAGCACTTCTCGAGAGAAACTTTCTCTGACTTCTGTATCCCCAAAATACCCACCCCAACCCTCCTTCAGTCCCCAGCCCTTCTATACTGAGGACAATCTCAGCTTGTGCCATCTGCTGCACACCCGGTGACCAGGCGACACAACGAAAGCGTCCAGAAATCTGCAGGATTCGAGTGTGCGAGCCAAGGATGGGGCCAGGGCTGCTGCGAAAGGAGCTGAGAGAGGCCAAAAGATGAGGCGGAAGGCTAGCGGTCTGCGCCTCAGCTACTTCTGAATTTCCCTCTGCCGGCAGAATTAGAAAATAATCCACATGTCTGCAATGTCTACCATAATTAGGCTGTCCATAATCTACGAAGCCAAGAGAACACCAACCAGTCGCTACATGTTGGTTTGCTTTTTAAGTGTGTTATCTTTCTGTGAACTTTTAATTCACTAGTAGAATTCAAATCAATAAGCGTATTGGTTCTGTGCCTATACAAAGGCTTCTATGCAGCATGTGGACAATAAACTAAATTAATTAGTCACATTCACAGTTAGAATCTGTGAACATTTCCATGCCAACTTTGCAAGTCTTAGAAGGGGCCTTCAATGTCACTGATGATAGTGTTAATGACCATTTTGAGCACCAACTCCGTGTGAGAGGCATCAAGTTAGGCACTTTATGTGTGTTCGCTCATGCTACCTAGTAGTGAATTAAAAGTTCACAGCATGACAACAGATTCCTTTCTAGATACTAGGGAGCTCGCGGAGGTTTAGGCAGGCAATGACAAGACCAGACCCGCAGTTTAGAAAGACAAGTCTAGAACCATCTGCAGGATGGCTTAGACAGGGCAAGACCAGCATGTACCCTTCTCCCCTGCTGTGGTGGCCTGGGTTAGAGGAGTCTGGGTGGGAAGGGAAGGACAGAAGCATGGTGAGGGCCACAGTGGATGGAGAATGAACAGATTCCAGTAAATCTTGGGTTACAGGTGACTAGAGAGAGGGGATCACATGGATGGCACCCAGGTCCCCAGAGTGCACACCGAGCTGGACTGGGATGCTATTGACCAAACCAGAGCAGGCAAAAGCACGAAGAGCCTCTCAGGCAGAATCTTCGAGAGAAGAAAATGAGTTTAGTTTCGGATATAGGAATTTGAGTTTCTAGGGGCATACAAAGGTGGAACTGTTAATCTGGAGCTCAAGAAAGAGGCCGGGGGTGAAGATCTAGAGGGGCCTCAGCAGCCAAGCTGAATAGGAAGCCACGGGAAGCATGCGATACCCGGGCGGCTGACAGAGACAGGGGCGGAGAGGAGACAGAGCTGGAGCCCCATCGATTAAGCGTGGGCGGTCAGAGAGGAAGACGTCTAAGAACAGAGTCTAACCAAGCAGCCTGCAGCAGAAGCCAGGAAAGGAGAAGTCAGAAGAGGGTTAGGGGAGGAGGTCAGCGGGAAGGCTTTCAGAGCCTAAGGCAAGAGAACATTTAGACAAGATGAGAAGCAAGAGAGGTTATCGGGGTTGGTGTTGAGAGAAGGTGGCTCAGACAGAGCAAAGAAGGAAAATTCCTTTTTGAATTACGCTCTGATGAGTCACATTAAGTAGAAGAGGTCTCCCTGTGATGAAATTTGGAAATTTTTTTAAAAACATAAATGGATGTCAATTTGGGGACCCAGAAATACATTTTTTTTCCATTCAAATTAATCATATTTGCACTTTCAACTTCAGAAAACCCTTCCTGCAGTAGCTTCTCAGAAATGAATTAATCTTATAAGGTGGAAAAGACTGTAATAGACTTTTGGGTTTGGCCCAAAGAGCCAGAAGAGGTTATTCTCCAGAATGCTCTTCTCGGAGGTAGTAACCATCATCCCGTGAAGAATAAGTATTCTGTGTTCAAAAGAGGGAGAAATGGTACACACTAAATCTTTCAGAGATTTATAACATAATACATTCAGTAGGCATAAAGCTTAACTTTTTAATACCAATGTCTCCAGACATTACTTGATACTCTTATGGCAATATCTATTATTATATTGAGGAACATAGTGTTCCATTGGACAAAATCTAGAAAATACTGCTCTAGAGGAATCTAAGGGAAGTGGAAAGAGCCCAGGCTTTGAAGCCCAGCAGATCTCCACTCAAATACCAGCTCTGGCACTTATTAGCTGTCTGTCCTTGGGCAAGTTGCATACTTATCACTTCTTTTACACGAGGATAACAACACATGCATTGTCAGGCAGTTATAAGACTTTGAGCATATATACACAAAGTGCCTAATTCAGTGTCTCACATACAGTAGGTGCTCAAACAATGATGTGTTTATACTACACCAATGTACTATACTAGTATACAGCCATACATCGCATAATGACATTTTGGTCAACGAAGGACTGCATATATGAGAGTGATTCCATAAAATTTTAATGTAACTCAAAAATTCCTATCATCCAGTGATATTATAGCCATCATAACATCACATAGCACAGTTACTTTACTTTTGGATAACTTTACAGTAGCCTAAGTGTACAGTGTTTATAAAGTCCACAGTAGTGCACAGTAACCTCCTAGGCCTACATAGTCACTCAACATCTCTCACTGACCCACCCAGAGCAACTTCCAGTCCTGCAAGCTCCATTCATGGCAAGTGCCCTACAGGTGTACCAGCTTTTAATCTTTTATACCACGTGTTTGCTCTGCCTTTTCTATGTTTAGATATGTCTACACAAATACTGACTATTGTGTTATTATCACCTACAGGATTCAGTACACTAAAATACTGTACAGGTTTGTAGCCTAGGAGCAATAAACCACACCAGATGGCCTAAGCATGGAGTAGGCTCTACCATCTTGCTTTGTCTAAGTGCATTCTATCACGTTTCCACAACCATGACATCACCTAATGACACATTGCTCAGGGTGTATCCCCGCCTTTAAGCAACACGTGGCTATGTTAGCACTGAGGCTTTCTTCAAGCCTGGCAAAGTTGCATGGAGAAGGTCACAGGCTCTAACTGTGAATATGACTAATTGATTTCATGTTCCAAAACTTCTCAAGTAATAACGATGAGTTTTGAAAATATCTCACTATGATAAAAACACCTGCCCCATTCCCACGTTATGAACTACACTTAGGGATTGTGAACAATTGGGTTTAAAGAATAGATGAAGAATTGCATCCTGTTTCAACATTGTGTCCCAATAATCACTTTCAGGGCTTATATAGATATAGTCTAAATTGCATTCAAGGACTCAAGAAAGCATTAAAAAATGATTGACATTAATATTGAAACCAACAGAGTTTGCTTCCTTTTGAGAATCCCTTTTAAAAATATATGCACTTGCATGTGAAGACATGTTTTAAATAATAACTCAAATGTTATAGTCTAAATAACACAGTCTGCATCATAGATATGTAAAAAATAATAAAATTAAGAGAATAAGTCCAATACCACTGATGTCCACACAGACCTCAAGAATTTAGGTGTCATGGAGAAAAAAACACACACACAAACATTGAATTTCAAAGTATCTGCAAAAGGTTATCAGGCTTAGACATGTGGTTATAAGAGTTGAAGGTAAGTCAGCCCTGTTGCTGGGCCCACAGTGTCATCACCTAAAAATACGCCTAGTTGCTATATTTATGGGAAATTGATAAGTCTAAGATCTGTGACATTTTGGGATTTATTAATGCTGTTGGACTCTTTTGCCATATCTGGAATGATGACATTTTTTTTTTGCAAGGCATGTTCTTCTGCATTTGCAACTGAATAGAGAACAAATTCCCTTATCAAGTTATCATTTGAAAGTGAGAAACATCCTCTGGCTAATTGGGAGCCTGATGTCATGTAGGAAATTAAACTTGTGCCAATGGTTCAGTGATCTGTGCAGCCGATGGGTAGCTGGGGACAGCATGTGGTGGCAACAGCCTCTGCCACTAACGTGTCACCCAGCCTGGGCAGGGGGACCCTGAAGCTTCAGCTCCTTCATCTCAATGATGAGGGATGCTGGATGTGTCAGCACACACAGGGTGCCAGGCCGTTATGAGAACTGAGGAGGCCATCATCTAGGACAATGGAAAAGTGGAAAGCATTAGTCAAATCTTAGGAAATAATATCCATGAGTTTTTTCATGGACACCTAATTGTCTACCTGTGGCCATAGAAGGACACCATTCTGATTTCTTTTTTCTTTCATATGGAGGAAACAAGAGAGAACTGTTCTTAGTCAGAAGACCTGGATTATGACTTAAGTTCTTGCAGCCACCTGCTCAGGGAGATTTAAGCCATTCATTAACTTTTCTAAATTTCAGTTTCCCCACAGTTAAAAAGTGCCAACTTCGGAATGTTATAATAATAATAATTTTTTAAAAATGTTAATAGTTTTAGACCAAATATATGGCCCATACAAGGCTTCTTTCTAAGCTGAAATGTATTTCAAAAAAAGGCCACTGTTCCAGAAGATTGGGACCCTGATCTCTGTTTTAATAAGAAAAACAACTACTTCAACTTATAATTTTCTAAGTTGTCTACCATGTGCTTAACAAACATCATTTGGTGTTTGCATTTTATCTGTGATGTAAATATCATGAACCTCCTTTCACGCATGAGGAGACTGGAACAGTAAGAGGCTAAGGAACCTGCCCAGAGTGACCAGTGGTGGTGGCAGTGCCACGGTGTGAACCCAGGCGTCTGGCTCCATAACCCACCACTGGACTCTACATCGTGATCTTTGAAGTCAGCAAACCTGGGCTTGAACGCTCGCTCCGTTCCTTTCCTTAGCTCTACAACTTTGGACGAATTTCTTCCCCTCCCCCTCAAAGTCTCCGTTACCTCTTTTATAAAATGGAAAAAATAATAGCTCCCTCTTCATAAGGTTACTTGCGAAGATGAATTAATTACTGGACGAGACACACCTAGAAAAGAGTCCGTGCCTAGTATATGTTAGCTATCGCACAAGATAGAAATCATTGTTCTGCTCCATCGCTTCCTGCCAGGCTGTTCACCGTGAGTCTGGGATATCTATTCCCCAAATAAAAAGGGAGCCAGGCTCACGACTGCTGGGCGAGCAGCAGCAATGGAAACAGAAGAGAGAGCACGGTGAATCCTTCCTTGCTAGGTACAAGGCTCCTTGTGTACTCAGAGACTGACAACCATGTCTTCGGGCCACACTTTCCAGCCGAGCCGGTTACACTTCTAATTTCTTTCTCACTGATCACTGTGCTGGGATGACCCAATTCCAGCGACTCGGCCAAGCTGCCTGACCCGAGGGCACAGGAATCTTCAGCGAGGTTAAATGCCCATTAAAATGGAATACTTTTTCCTTTGAATTTGTCTTCATGAAGTTCTTTGACTTATAGGGGGAACTGCTATATCCAAAAGATTCTGGTTGCTGATTCTACACCACAAAGCTAAGCAAATCTGACTCAAACTACATCACAACAGCAACTTACTGGTCCCTTTAGTAGTGACCCTTTAGTAGTCCCTTTAGGGGTCTACATCACCATGGGGTCACCCCAGTTTTCTGTAAGGCTCCCAACCCACTCTACCAGCAACTCATAGCGACACCAAAATCTGCCCAGTTTTAGATTCTTTCATCTGCTGCTAGCAGACCTACACCGAGTCATTGCCATGCAATAAGGCCACACCCTTTAATCGGATTAATATTTATCATATGATGCTATTAAACACTTCTAGCAAAGAGAAATAGATAATGCCAAAAAGATAACAGACAAGTCAGTAAAAAAAACAAACAAAAAACTCAATTTATTTACAGAACCGCCTCTCCCTCTTTCTATTTACTACCGTGTCTTTACTGTCTGCCCACGATGAATCAGCATAGCATATCTGTGTGTACAACAAAGACCTAAGGTCCTATGAATATATCACTGGGTGGGACACTTACCAAAAGCCAACTAGTTCTCCTATGAACCAGCCACCCCAATAGGTGCTCCCTATTGGTTATTTTATTTTCTCTTGGTGACAACCCTATGAAGGACGCTAATCCGCCTGTTTACGTACCTGTCTCTTTTATTAGTACCACTTTATACTGCTAGCACCTAGCATAGTGTGAGAAACAGACCTTTCCGATCCCTTATTTTTTGAGAGGTTGGTTAATAGGATGGCTATGGATAGGAAGAACTATCACTGGAAAAGTGCAAGCCTCCTTTGTCCCTGTGTCAAAGACTGTCATCTACCTAGAAAAGTTCATAATGTGACTCTTGGTACTAGAATTCAAGCCAACATGCCCAGCTGGTTGCACCAACCCCAACTTAAGAGAAACATGCTTCCTTTCAGATTGAAATTGCCAAGAAGACCAGTGCTGGGTAGATTCCTAATTATTCGTGAAGTTGAACATTTCCCTCTTGGCCTGCTTGCTTCTCCGCCTTCCCTTTCTCCCTCCCCCTTCTCTCCCTCCCTCCTTCCTCCTCTTATCCCCTCCTGCTCCCCAACACCCTCTCCCTTTCCCCTTGCCCAGCTACCTTTGGAGTTGCAATTGCAGGGCAGACAGCGATCCCTTTCTCTGTGCCGGTAGAACCCTTCCTTGCACCTCTCGCAGCGCACGCCCGCAGTGTTGTCCCTGCAGTCGAGACAGCGGAGTCCGCTGCCCGTCTGTCTGTGAAGCTCGGGGTCGAAGATGCATTGCCCGGATTTCCCATTGCAATCGCAGACTAGGGAGGAAGGGGAAAAACACCGTCAGAAAAAAACAACTCAGGGGCAATTCTCTCTGGTGTCTTCTGTTAGTATTAATAAAAATTACGCACGAGGTGCTCCACATCATTCAAACTACTCAATGGAGTAAGGTCAGGCAGTGCCACCACTGGGGTGGGGACTGTGGGGACTCCTGTGGCCATTAGGTAGTGCTGGTGGGTGGCTCCCAGGGAGAACACAGGCTCAGCGCTGCCAGATTGTCCAATTCTTCAAAAGAAACCAAAATTCCTACACTATGTTTTGATGCGAAAATTCCCAACTTAAATATCTACAAGGAGTTCATTTTACAACACCGAGCAAGTCTACGGGCTGGAGAAGACCTTGGGACCACCCGCTGTGGCCTCAGCACAGCTGTAGCAGTCGCCATCCACACCCGTCCTTCCCGTGATGGTCAACGCAAGGAGGTGACCACTGTCTACACAGGGATCTCCTCCCCCTCACTGTGCCTTAATGTCCCTCCATTAATGTCCTCTAATGTCCCTTACATTAATGTCCCTCCTCTAATGTCCCTTATAATTATTGTAAGTGACTGCCTTACAATAATTTCGATTAAGAAATGTCCCTCCCAAAGCCAGGTGCCAAGAGAACCGTCCTCCCATGAAGAATGACTTTCTCCAAGTGTCTAGGAAGTTCATCCTGTGCATGTTCCAAAGAGACCCGTGCAGTGACCAACGTCTCCACGTGGGATGTAAACAGCCAACAAGGCCACGCGTGGCAATACTTAGCACAGTACCTCGTGCACTGGGGACACTCAAAAATATGTTTCCATCGTGGTTTTAGATGAGAAAAATCAGGGACGTTGGGGTTAAAAGCATTGGATCCAATATCAGTTTGGCTATTTCCTGGGCAAGCCATTTCAATTTTCTGAATCTTGGTTCTTCTTCTATAAATGCAGACCTCATTACCAGCCTCCCTGGACGGTTAAGAGCGTCCCCTGAGAGAAGAATATCAAGTGCCTTTGCATCTGCCGCTGCAGCCCTTGCTCACGGGGGACAGACGGGAGAACGGCAGCTTGGAACGCTTAGGGAACTTCACCCGGGGAGAGCCGGGACTTGAACTTCTGTCTGATGCCAAAACCTACTTTCCTCCTGCTACAGACACTGTCTCCATTGGCCAGGCAGCCACACGGAGAGCCTGTTTCTAGGGCCCCAACCGACCCAGAGTACTGACAAGAAAGTCAACAACTGTGCCAACACATGCTGGGCAGCTGTCCTCTGCGTGCCCTGTGTCAGGCTCTGAAGAAACAAAGTGACTGCCTTACAATAATTTCGATTAAGAAAACACTCTCTTGCTACTTTGGGTGCCATTTAGTCTAGGGGAACTCCACTAATATCTACCCAAAGCCCACTCTGTTTCTGGGGCTTTACACTCATCTGCTCAGTTAATTTTCTTTCTTTTTTTTTTTATTTTGGCATATGATGGGGGTACAGATTTTAAGGTTTCAATAAATGCCCTTTCCCCCCTCCTCCCACAAGTCTGAGTCTGCTCAGTTAATTTTCACAGTAACATTTTAATATGGGTTCTATCAACGCCATCTAACAAATGGAAAAACCAGTTCTCAGAGACACTAGGTATCTTACCTAAAGTCACACAGCTAAGTGGCAAAGATATATAATTTGCTCCCAGGTCTGTCTGACTCCAAAGGCCTCATCTTTCCATTTTAGTCGATTTCTCAAGACTTAAGTTTACCGTTGCATGTGGGCATTCTTATAAATCCCTAAAATAGGGTCATTCAGCCTTTTCCTGAATCCTTTCTAATGTGTAAAATGCCCTGTCGTCCCTCCTTAAACAATGCTGCTTTTTACAACCAGTAACTTTTTTTTTTATGGTATTTTAAATCTGCCTCTGTCACTATAACTTTCATCATGTGTTTTTGTACTTCCCTGGAAAACAATATGCACTCCACACACACACCCTTACTCTCTTTTCATTCTTTTATTTATTCAACAGCCATCAACTGCAGATGCTGTTTTACAGGGTCCTGTATCAGCCGAGCGTTTGGGTATCTGAAGATAACTAGACCATCGCCCTCCGTAGTCTCCTCTTGTTCAAGTTAAACTGGAGACCTGTCACCTCCAGGCCTTTCAGCCATTTTCCGTGTCATAATTTCTGAGTGCCTCTTGACTCCCCTCTTAGGAACAAATTCTAATTTTCAATGTCCTTCTTAAAATGACCAGTATTCAAGTGTAGTTTGAATAGCTCAGCTTACAACAGGACAAGATGTTTTTATTCCATGATGAAGACTAACATTTCATTAAATTTACAGCACAGTAAATGTGCGCTCAATGCAAACACTCGGGGCTTTTGACAGAACTAGCGCCAAGCTGAGTCTTTCCAAACTAATGCTTGTGAAACTGATTTTGTGGCTCTCCAACAGATGTGCCACACAGCTGCCATGTGCTGTGACATTCCTACCGAGGACATGGTTATGCAAGTACAAGGGCTAAATTCACCAGCCAACAATCTTTGTGAGGGTCCCCAATTCATTAACCCAATGAGAAAATGTCCTCCCTGCCCTGCATGCCTTTTGGAAGCAATTTCAAAATAACCACAAACTTTTCATTGTGCCCTTCTTATTCAGAACATACTTTTTGCTGGTGATAATTAGCTTCATAAGGACAGCTCATGATGATATAAATATTCAGAGCAATCTTTTTTTTGTTTGTTTGTTTTAAAGAAACAGGATCTTGCTCTGTTGCCCAGGCTGGCTGGAGTACAGTAGAGCAACCAGATCTCACTGAAGCCTGAACTCCTGGGCTCAAATGATATTCCCACCTCAGCCTCCCATTCTTTAAGAGAGGGGGTCTTGCTATGTTGACAGGGCTGGACTTGCACTCCCAGCCTCAAGCGATTCTCCCACCTTGGCCTCCCAAAGTGCTCAGATTAGAGGCATGAACCACCATGCCTAACCCAGAGCAATCTTTTTAAAATAGACAAACTTGTTATAATCTTTATGTACCACTCCCCTCTTCTGTCCTTGCTCCTTTAAAGTGCAATAGTATTAAAAAAAAAAAAAAATGAGTGTTCTTCCTTTAAATTCACAGCCTTCAATGGCGTTGCATTACTGTTCCAGCAAGGGAGGTCCTTCGCCAGCATTTAGATTAAATGCAAGCCTATAATATATTTAAAACAAGAGGAAATTCTAAAAAATGTTTTCTATCATATTTTCCTTGCTTTACATTTAGACTTGTTCAATTTTATGTCTAAAATATGTTTCATTTTTATTTTGTAATCTTTTTGCTATACTTCCAAATTTTGGGCTGGCTGCAAATTTCGTAAATGTGTTGGCTAGTTCCTATCAGGGGGCCTTGACACAAGGCCAAGCAAGGGAAGTATAAAGATGGGGGTCTTGGACCTTCCCCGAGTCAACTGTGAGCCATTTATCGCCAGTCTTTTCACCCATCCATTCATTCAACAAATACATACTAAGCATCTGCTGTGTGCCAGGCCCCGTCCTAGGCACTGGAATACAGAGTAACCAAAACCCATAGACACTCCAGCCTTTGTGGAGTTTACATGCAAGTTGGGGGAAAGAAAACAAACAAGGTAAATGACATATAGAGAGAATATTAGGATAGTCCTATTTGTTAAGGAGAAATACACAAAGCAGTGAAAAGAAATAGGAAGTTGAGGGGAGGTAAGATGATGGGAAGGAGGGTTGGAAGTGCCATGTGCTGGCTTACTGCTTTGTATCTTTTTCTTTTTTATTTTTTTTTTTCTGAGACAGAGTCTCGCTTTGTTGCCCAGGCTAGAGTGAGTGCCGTGGGTCAGCCTAGCTCACAGCACCTCAAATCCTGGGCTCAAGTGATCCTCTGCCTCAGCTCCCGAGTAGCTGGGACTACAGGCATGCACCACCATGCCCGGCTAATTTTTTCTATATATATTAGTTGGCCAATTAATTTCTTTCTATTTTATAGTAGAGACGGGGTCTCGCTCTTGCTCAGGCTGGTTTTGAACTCCTGACCTCGAAATGCAGCCCGCCTGGGCCTCCAGAGTGCTAGGATTACAGGCGTGAGCCACCGCGCCCGGCTGTATCTTTATTTCTATTGATACGTGTCTGGTTCATGATCTTTGTCCATTCTCTACTGGGCACAATGTTTTTCTTATAAATTATCATGTGTTATTTACATAATAAATATATTACACTATTTGCCTATCACTTTGTTACAGCTTTTCTTGCAACCTTTCTGATAAAAAAGAAAGGGATCGATCCTCTTTCTTTCCAAGGTACCTCATTGGTGGATTTTGTTTTACTGATTCTTACTCCTTTTTCCCCTTCCTCCTTCTGTCCCTGGGCAGTGAGATGTATATTTATTTCATTCATTTAATAAACAATATCACTTCGCATCTAACAAGGAGGCTGTAGTGCGTGCTTGGACACACCCACTTCATGAGCCAGCAAAATTTCAAATAAGAGAACCGCTAATGTTTGATTTTGTCAATGAAGATATCAAATATATATTTATTTAGTATCTATTTGTCTGTGTCTTATCACATTATCCATGTTTTCCTATTTCACCATGAACAGGCATGGGCCCAGCACCTGGCATTAAGATATCACTGCATCAGAAAATACAGATAACAAATCAGACTCGAACCCTGAACAGACCTGAAGCACTCATAAGGTCTAGAGAAAAAAGACAGGCAGGTTTTTCTCCGTCTTTCACCGGTGCTAGGTCCCATGCGTCACTCTTCTTTGACCCTTCACTCGTACCAAACCAGGGGCAGCTCTTCAAGGTCTCATCCTCAGCTCTCTGTCCCCTCACTCCACATCCCCCAGCTCCTCGGCTCTGCCAGCCGGGGTTCTCTCCGCAGCTCAAGGAATGAGATTCAGCAAGTTTACCTCCAGTCCTACATGCACACATCTGAAACGGAGTCGTTTTAACTCCAATTTTCGCCCATTTCTTTTCAAGTCTAGGAAAGCGTGGGTGGTAATTGTGTCTGACTACGCTGCACGCATCTTC